TCCACATGTTGGTTTATCTGGGGGTGGGGGTCAGGCTGTCGGAAGGGATGCCTTGCCCTTGCTTGATGTGAGTGGGCAGCCAGGACCAGCCGTGGGAAGGGACTGAATCGTGGCGTCCTAGTCTTGTGACAGCCACATTCGTCATCGGAAGCTTGTACTGAGTGTTTGTCCTGTGAGGAGGAGCACAGTCTGGGTGCATTTTGAGATTCTGTGGGAGTTGCTACATTTCAGTTCCTTGGTTTTCTGATGTCTAAAAGGAGGACGATAGTAAATAAGTAACAGTATTTGTTTATGTACGTAACTCATAAAATTGTGTGATGCTAAAAAAACTTTAAGCAGCAGATGTAAAAAGATAAGGTCCTTTTCATCAGAGTGTCCTGCTAGCATCCTTTCAGGAGGCAGGAGGCAGCATCGCTGAGTGGAAAGAATGTTGGCCTGACAGGCCAGAGAAACAAATTTGTTTCCCAGTTGAGCATAAACACTTGTGAGACCTTGAGCCTCTCAGCCTCTCTGGGGTTCAGTTTTCTCATCTGCAAAATTAAGGTGCTGGTCTAGAAGATTTTCCACTTAATATTTTACTATCCTACGGAGAATTAAGAAAGGAATTGAGAGCCTACTTTCCCTGGGGAGGTCAGTTTTACTTTCTAGGCCGTCAGATGGCCCTCTAGACATCTTGCTAAAGGACAGAAGCATTCGTATTCACATTTTCCAGTTGTGTTTGGGAAATTGGACCAATACATTTCACATGGCCAGAAGCAAGACCCCAAGTTAGGAAGGAGAGGAAGATACTGCCTTACAGCAAATGTCCACCTTATCTCGACCACTAATCTGTCCTGGCCACATACCCCTGTCTAGATGAGCCGCTCGGGATGGCGGGTGACCAAATAGGATGTACAATGGAGTGAGGACTGGTGGGTAGTGGAGAGGGGAAGGAGAGAAAAGACTTTTCTAAACCCATGGTAAACATGATTTCCTTGGTTTTGAATGGAAAATAATAAGCATTGCTACTCAAGTCCAACTTTCAAGAGTTTCAACAATTTCAGTGGAAAAAAGTATGCATATGTGTATATGTATGTAATGTCTGTATATATGTAAGTATATGCATATACATACACATGCACATGCACAGACGTGTACACACAACACATGAGTACATATGTGTGCAAAGCATATATGTGCACACACATACTCACTTACATATTTATAAATTTCTATTAAGAATCTTAGGAAAGGCCTCATCTTCTCACCAGTGGGTCCCTTCTCTCTGTTTCTACATCTTAGTCTCTCCCCGTAAGGCATATATCCAGTGAAATTCAGACTGAAATGTATAGAACTCTCTTCTAGATATTCTTCTTGGTGCAAACACTCCTTCCCTCCATATCCCTGCCCTTGTGCCCCCACCATCATAAAAAACAGGGAGAGAACTTGAGAATTCTAACAGTTTGGGAAACTGTAAATGCCCACACTTTTTACATTTGCTACTGTTTCCATGACAATTTTTTTTTTCCAGGAGAAAAGAACATTTCTAAAAGATCAAAATTAAATCACTTTGAAGACTTAAAAAAAGACAGTGGTTCTGGGAAAGTATTAACATGAAATAATACTGTTTATATCTAAAATCACTTATGACATTTATAAAATTCTCCAGCACTTCAAATTTGTTAAGTTTAAAGCTCAGTCTTCTTCTTGTGTGCGTCTTTCTATTGGCACAGAATACAAAAGGTAGAATAGGTTTTGAACTCTTGGTGATGCAACAAAATCTGATTTTGTTGATGAGGATCATTGTTGAGTGAGGTATTTTGTGCTGAAAAAGTAATTGCTAGTTTGGCATAGAGTAGAGAAGCCATATCTATATCTACACAAATACATATATAGAGTAATATATAGATGTGTGTATTTATGTATATCTGTACATAGATTCATAGATGAATAGACTAATACCCATTCAGACAAAAGTCCTCTTTGCCTTCCCTATATTACTCTTCAGTTATGTACACAAGGATTTTACTGCCATCAATCTACTTGCCAATTATTTCTATGTTTTGTCATCGGTTTTGGTTTTCCTCCTAAAAACTGTTGAGAAATGATATGTGATGGATGCTATATAAGCAGATATTGCTTATTAGCCTAGACAGACAGGATAGGATATTTTTAGATCTAATTAAGAAAACATAGGCCACCACTACCATCTCTGTCTCTCTCTCTGTCTCTCTCTCTCTCTCACACACACACACACACACGCACGCACAATGTACAACTTTAAGAGCAACAACAAAAATAACTCCCCTCTGCCAAGTCCTCATCTCGTATTTCTCTTCCTGACCCTCCACCAAAACAATAAGATAACATTCTTATGTAATGAGATTCCCACTCATAGAAATACCTTTATAGAGGGCATCAACAACTGTGAATGAGTTGATCACTGTTTCTGGGCTCTGACAGAGAGGGACCAATAATTTGCTACTGTAAACCAAAAAGTATCTGAGATAGGTCTAAATCAATTCAGAAGTTTACTTTGCCAAGGTTAAGGACAGGACCAGAAGAAAACACAGAACCACAGAAACAGTCTATTATCTGTGCCTTTTTCCAGAGATAATTTTGAGGGCTTCAATATTTAAAGGAGGAAAGTGGGCAGGAAGGGAAAGAGGAAGGGGATGGATGGTCACATTGCTGAATCTACATGTTGTAAGAGATAAAGAGCAGGTAGGAGAATAGTCAATTATATATTTGTCTCATATTCAGTAAATTGAGATAAGGTGAACATAGAGTAGCTACCTGTGGAGATATTTAACCTTTTATCTGTAGCCGTCTGCTTAGGAACAAAAGGAGACAGTTTCTTCCATGACTCAGCTTTCAGCTTTTTTTCTTTTTGGCATAGTGAAAGTGTTTACTTTCCTTTCACACTATGAACCACTAAGTAACTCAAAGGAAAGGGGTGGGGATCCCAGCTACCCGGGAGGCTGAGGCACGAGAATCACTTGAACTTGGGAGGCAGAGGTTGCAGTGAGCTGAGATCGCGCCACTGCACCCCAGCCTGGGTGACATAATAAGACTCCATTTCAAAAAAAGAGAAAGGGGTGGGGATAGATGAGGAGGAAAAAAAAAATGCTTGTTCTGGGGAGAGCAATATAGTAAGAAAAGAGAAGTAAAGAAAAACTTCGTATTATCCCATGGAGTCTAACAGAACTGAATTCAAACCTGAGCTGTTTCCTTCAGTGTTTGTTTTGTATACTTGAGCCAGTTACCTAGTCCCTATAATCCTTAGGTTATTTATCCATAAAAGTAAAAATAAATTACAGGCTCACACCTGTAAGCCCAGCACTTTGGGAGGCCAAGGTGGGCAGATTACCTGAGGCCAGGAGTTCAAGACCAGCCTGGCCAACATAGTGAAACCCTGTCTCTACTAAAAATACAAAAATTAGCTGGGCATGATGGTGCACACCTGTGATCCCAGCTATGCAGGAGGCTGAGGCAGGAGAATCGCTTGAACCTGGGAGGTGGAGGTTGCAGTGAACCGAGATTGCACCACTGCACTCAAACCTGGGTGACAGAGTGAAACTCCATCTCAAAAAATAAAAATAATAAAAAATAAAAATACCTATATTACTAGATTGTTTTGAGGATTATGTTAAACTGTGTTATAAATATAAAACATATAGTATAATTCTTTTCAAAATAATTATAATTTTCACCAATTTATAGTTTTCTAAGAATAATCACTATGCCCATATAATTATTAAAAAAATCTTGAAACTTTCTGGTTTGAGGGATGATAATTAAATGCATTTCTTATTCTAAGAAAATAATTAGACATGTGAAGGGGAAACTATCTGCAAAACAATGCTTAAAATAAATAACCAACAATGAAGAAACAAAAAAATAAATTATAGCAGATTTGTTTTACAATGGACACACTTTAGAGAGATACACTATGCAACAGTAACTAAAAGAGAGCTGAAATTGCTGCCTTAATATCAGACAAAATGGATTTTCAGACAAAAATATTACTAGAGACAAAGAGAGACTTTTAATAACAATAAAGGGATCAATACATCAAGAAGATGAAACAATTACAAATGTATAATTTATGGTACTTAATTTATATAAAGCCCCAAAATGCATAAAACAAGAACTGACAGAATTGGTAGTAGAAACAGTTGGAGTTATAGTTGGCATTATAGTTTGGAATTATAGTTGGAGATTTACATCCTCCTCTCTCATTAACTGATAAAACAGCTAGATTTAAACAACAGTATCAATCAACTTGATCTAATTGACATGTATGAGGTGCTGCCCACCAACAGCAGAATGCATATTATTTTCAAGTACACATGGAAAAATTTCCAATATAGGTTTTATGGTAGGCCATAAAACAAGTAATAATAAATTTAAGAGATCATTAAAATTTAAAAATTAAAACATAATTAACTATGATTAAGTGGTATTCATTCCAGATATGCAAGAATGGTTTAATATATAAGAATCAATAAGTGCAATACATCACATTAACAGAAAGTAAGACAAAATGCGTATAATCATGTTAATGAAAACAGGGAAAGCATTTGACAGAATTTAACATTCCTTCATGATAAAAACTCTCAACAAATTAAATATAGAAAGTACATACCTCAACACCATAATGGCCTATTCAGGATGAGCCTGGAGTATCTTACAGTGCAAGAAAGTAAGGAAGTGTCCAAAATACAAAAGCAAAAATAAAACAAATAAAATCCCACAATGAGGAAGGTATTAAAAAGGAATACAGGAGCTTACTGAAGGCTCCCAATGGCCAATGCTGGAAGAATTTGAGCAAAAAATTAAATAAAGTAGTATTGGATTATGTATTATTCAATGTATCAAATAAATGTCCATGAGTCCATAATGATATAAATAAAGAAATAAATGGGGTAAAAATAAAGAAGTACATGGGGTAAAAAAGAAAATTAAAAATAAATGCGGAACAATTCCAAATAATTCATGTGGATATTCTACCTTCAAAGAGATGAGATGGTGTGGCCTGCACACAGTGACTTCAGAAGAGCATAGTGTGAAAACGGAATAAAAGAGTATCTTTCCTTTGGAGAAACCTGCTGAACACCACCTCAGCCAGGTGACTGAAGTCAACAACAGTGGTAAGTCATGTTCATTGCATGAATCCTTGACATGAGGAAAATGGCACTTTACTTCTGTGTTCTTCCTCTCTCAAACCTATAACTTCAAATTAATCATGAGGAAAACAGCAGACAACCCCCAGTGACGGGATGTTCAAAAAGATGCCTCTAAATCGTCAAGGTCATCAAAAATGAAAAAAGTGAGAAACTGTCCCAGCCTAGGAAGACACAACTACAAAATATCATGTGGCATCCTGGATGAGATCCTGGAATAGAAAAAGAATGTTAGGTGAAATCTAAGGAAATCTGAATAACGTATGAACTGAAATTAATAATAATGTGTCAATATTGGTGAATTAATTGCAGGAAATGTGCCATACTAAGGTAAGATGCTAACAACAAAGGAGACAGAGCATGGGGCATAAGAACTGTCTTTGCACATTTTCTGTAAATCTAAGACTATTCTAGAAAATCAAGTTTATTTTTTGAAAAGTACTTCTCTTTTCTGTGATAACATAAGACAGATTAGGGGAGAAATATAAAACAAAATCTAGGATCAATTGAAGTGGCATCATAAAGTTAAATTCCAGAAAAATGTGTACCATCTGGCTTTGTGGAACTCAAATGTGCTGGCTTAATGCTAAAGTGGCAGCCAGGAAGGGTTTAAATGATGTTATCATTAATACATATTTGGCAGCAGGAATTTCCATTATTAGCAGCTGAAAAAACATGCCATGGAACACGTGAACAGCACTGTACAGGAAAATACAGACTCTCCCAACTTTGCTCTCTTTCTGCAGCTGACATCTCCTGAGGAAAAAAAAAAAAAAAAGTTGAGTTCTTCTTTTCAGAGCCTGCAAGATTTATTTCTTTTTTAAAAAATCTATCTTTAATTACTGTATAATCCTCCCTAATGCTCAAAGACCCTTGAGCTCATTTGATGCCTAAAAGGACTAAGAACTGGGCTTTGTTATTATTATTTAGAAAAGAAACAGGTTCAGAGAGGGTCAGTGATTTGCTTTGAATCCACATTTGATAAGTTGTGGAACTGGAACTTGAACCTAGGTATTTCAAAGAAAAACTGAATGGCCTTTACACAACTAAAAATTATTTGAGACATCTTTTGTACTGTTGTTTGGCATATGTTAGCAGACATCAGACATCCAAAACAAAAATGTCACCTCCTGATGAGTGAAGGCAGCAAGGTGGGCTTTGGCCTTCCCAATGGGTACAGATACAAACCAGGAAATTCTGAGCAACACTGAGTCTCAGTTCTATCACTTATTTTCTTCTTTCAATTTGTCCCTCAATTGCTTTAGCTGCCTCTGCTTCTTGTATGAATCTGATCATTTTTGTCTTCGATTCCTGCACAGCTGAAGTCACTTTTCACCTTACTTGATTCTTCTTCCACACTGCATTTCAGCTTTAATCTCCTCTCTCATCGCTCGACGCTGAGACTCTAGTCCCTGTTCCTTTTTGCCTTAGTCTTGACCACATGACAAAGAGTATTAGACTATTAAAGAAGACCCAAATGCTATTTTGAATAGAAAATCTGCACTATATTCAAAGGTTCACTTGGAAACTGAAGTACTTGAGAATTCAGAGTTATTATGAATATCTAATTCTACCTCATGTCTCTTCTGTGGGAGATAAGGTTTAATATGTATCACTTCTAATGAAAGGAGTTGAGGAATTAGGTCATTGTTTTCAATTTCACAGTAATATTTCACTGACCTCTAAAAATACCTCCTATTAAAATGTATAGAAACCAATTCTTGAGAAGAACTCAGAATTGAATAGAAGCAGAGAATAATACTGCATATTAGAAGAAGAAACGTCTCTTCCAAATAGGACCTTAGGTTTTAACAATTCAACCAACTCAGAAACAACAGGATCCTTTGAGATGTACTTAGATCTCTGTCAGTGAATTTCCCAAAGAAAGTCAGGGCCACTCTTATTGCGAATGTTGTCAGAGATTCATATTTAACACGTTGAGGTAAAGGGCCTGGGGAAATGTTATTGATCACTTCGAAATTAGTTTTTTAAACCTACATATAAAATGAAATTTTACACTTTAGCCTATTAAAACTCATCTCCATTTTTGAGTGAGTTAGAAAATAGTGCTGACTATATAGACCAGAGTGCTATTTTCCTTGTGCAGTGCTTTGCAAATTCTCATTGCCCTCTGCTAATAATTCTGAACTTATCTATATCTTCTTAAAAGGAGTTAGATTTTTGCACTTCTAAAGGTTGCAGAGCCAGTAGCTTTGTCTACATGTGACTGTGCACTGAAGGGGAATGTTCTCATGCTTCAAGGGGCAGGCAGATAGCCTAGGGAAGAGCAATGGAATGGAGCATGCTGGGAGAGCCAAGGCCTGAAATTAGGGAGTAGGGAGAAATGTTGGCTACAGGTCCTGAGAAGTATACTCCAGCAGATAGAACACTGTATCCAAGGGTAGGGAAAGAGACCCCAGATATGGGGAAAGGGAGTTGAAGATGGAGAGAATGTATTGGAAGCACAGATGTCAAAGCAACATAGTAGGAAAATTATGAAAGACAAGCAGAGAAAAGCAATGAAGACTGAAGGATAAATTAATACTCAGGTATTTTGTGAAAGGGCTATATATGTAAAGCAACCCCCATCTCTACTAAAAATGCAAAAATTAGCTGGATGTGGTCACATATGCCTGTAATCTCAGCTACTCAGGAGCTGAGGCAGGAGACTTGCTTGAACCTGGGAGACGTAGGTTCCAGTGAGCCAGGATTGTGCCACTGCACTCCAGCCTGGGTGACAGAGTGAGACTCTGTCTCAAAAAAAAAAAAAAAAAAAAAAAAGAGAGAGAGAGAGACAATGCCAATGGCCAGAGAGCAGAACAGTGGTTACCAGGGACTGGGGGTAGGAATGATAAATGAGTTGTTTAATGGGTTCAGAGTTCAAGTATGGGATGATGAATAGGTTCTAGCGATGGATGGGAGTGATGATTCCACAGCAATGTAAATGTACTTAGTGCCACTCTACTATACACTTAAAAATGGTCAAAATGGTAAATTTTAGGTTACATATATTTGAGTACAAAAAATTTTTAATGAATTTTTAAAAAAGAGAGACAGTGGCAGCATCAGATTTCCATCACAGAAACTCAGGTTCTAGGGACAAGGGAGAAGCCTGATTCTCAGAACTGGCATGTGAGGTGGAAACTAAATTGTGGGTGATGGAAGGGCCTGTGTGCAATGCTGAGCTCAAGATCAGAAGTGACCAGAGGTACATCCGACTGTGTGCAGAGACTGAGAGTGTGTGCTGGAACACTTGACTGCTACTTAACCCTGGGAAATGGCTGAGTCTGAATGTGGGCTTAAGTAGCCTCAGCTATGGAGGCCAAGGAAGCCTGGAAAGGCTGGGTATTGGGCAAGACTAATACATGTTGGTTCTCTGTGATCTCATTTTCCTCACCCAGGACTTATGTTGAGGAGGACAACAACAAAAAATCAGCCCTGAGAAAAACCAGCTCCCACTGAAGGAAACAATTTGAACACGAACAGAGTGGAAACAGGATATAGGGCTCCCAATATTTTAGATCAGCTCACTAACTAGTAGACAATTCTTCCTTTTAAAGAATTCTATACCTTTTCACTAATGAATTCATGTCCCTATGGAGCCACAAAGGATGAGAATTTACCCCAAATGTATACTTAAATTAGATCGCCTTGTAAGAATGCTTTAAAAAATAAAATGCAGCCATCTGTGACATATTAAGACTGTTAATGTACTCATTGACATAAATACCTGAAGGGTTTTTATAACAGCTGGAACATGGCTCAAAGATCTTTTGTATTTGATTTTTAATGTACTTCCAAAGTGACTTCATAAAATTGCAACCACTACACCAGCGGGACTGAGGTTTTGTTTAACTCCTTGAGTCCTCATCTTCCACTGCTATTGATGCCAGTGATTACCATTACTACTCACTCTAAACATCTTGAAGATAAAAATCAAACCCCAAATACATTATCAATTGAGAGAAAAGACTTAAAAGACAGGCAATCAAGACCTGCATGTCCCTGGCCAAAACATCTCTCACAAAATGACACTTCCTTGGCTCAATCTTCACTCCCTCTGTAGAATCCCTAGTCCTTTCAAATTCTTCCCATATGGGTCTTAGCAAGGCCTAAATTCCTCCCATATGGCACCAATCAAGAGTTCAGACAATAAACCTCCTCAGCTGTGACTGAACCCCAGACTGTCCAGCCTACTGTGGGACTACATCCATCTCATCTCTGCCAGAGGTGACGGCTTGGCCTCTACTGCCCACTAGACAAGCTGTGAGTTGTTGATATCCATGCTGAAGCTGATGGTGACTGAAGCAGAAGGAACTGATGTCTGAGCCACTGCAGCCAGTTATGACAAACGCTGTGTCACCCTTAGGGTCATCATTCCATTTCATCTCCACCCCATCATCCTTGAGTTTGATTCAATCATTTATCTGTTCTTTTCAGTCAACAAAATGTTTATTAAACATTTATTATGTGCTGAGCACTGAAATAGGCTGATGATGTAGAGGCTATGTGCAAAAAAAGCATGATGGAGCTTACACCCCGGTGCACAGATCAACAGTAACAGGAGAACAAATTAATAAATGCATAACTACTTATGTGAAGTGCTAAGAAATAGTCAAGGTGCTGTAACCAGGAATGCGAGCAGATGGAGTGGTCAGGAGCAGGCCTCCTTCAGGAAATGACTTTTAAAATGAGACTCAAAGGGTGAGAAGGAAACAACCATTTAAAGAGCTGGGGAAAGAGTTTTGCAGGCAAAGGGAGGAGCCTTAAGAAAGAAAAACACAGGGGACATTCAAAGACCTAAAATAAAACTTCAGTGAGTGTAGCTAGAGCCAAGTAAGAGAGAGGCAGAGTGGTAGGAGGCTGGGTTGAGCAGTAAGCGGGGCAGGTTATGTTTGAGTTCTGTAGGTTGAACCTGAGAAGCCATTAAATAGAAGGGGAATGGATAGTTTTCTTTACATTTTGAAAAAAAAAAAGTAAAGTTCATCTTGACTGCTATGTGGAGAGTAGATTGGACGAAATTAGGAAAGGAAATAGGAAAGTCATTTGTAATCATTTAGGTGAGAAATGATAGCTTAAAGTAGGACAGCAGCAGTCAAGATGAAC